GGGTTTCAAGAATCCATACCTTTCTAATCTTGGAGGTATTTATAGGCACCTGTTGCTAGGGGTGGGCAAAACCCAATCCATCCCGATGAAACCGACTGAACCGACCCAACCCGACTGGGTTGGGTCGGTTTTTTCCTTTTTTTTAGGTGGGTTCGGGTTATGGTTGGCATAGGCGGGTCGGGTTGGGTCGGTTTACGAGTCAGCCCATAAAACCCGACTTAACCCGCCCGAACCGACCCACCCACTTAAAAAAAAAGGTCTAATTACTAAACTCTATCTTCTCTTCATTCCTAAAGCATCATTGACCAAAACCAAAAGAAGCCCTAAAAATTCTCACACGCTCCCGCTCAAATCGTCGACGGCGCAGCGTGGTTTTCGGTTCCCCACACAACTAGACTCCTTCACTGTCTTCCTTCTATTACCAGTCAGCATCATCTATCGGTCTTCCGATTCAAACACCGACCGATTCAATGCTCAACAGCTGCTGAACGCCGGTGCTTTTTTAACCGTATTGCTCATGTCTATGATAATGTGAGCCCCTTTACCTCTTTCTAAATGTTCTTGATTTATAACTCTTTCTCTAGTTCGATCTTCTAATTTTCTGTTCATTTATACAAATTGTTTTCTAGTTTAATTTATTGTTATTTTTGTTTCGCATTTGTAGTTGAATGATTTGTTTAGCTTGGGAAACCACAGAATATGGAAAAGAATGGCGGTTTCTTGGATTGGGTATTAACTTTGTTCTTTACTTTGTTCTTTTTTTATTTTTTGTTAACTTTAGATGGGATAATACCGATGCTATTAAGAAAAAAGAAGCAGCTAAACTTTTATAGATTATACTGTCGTTAGTAGTGCTTGTGTTTTATAAACCCATATTTATGTCTTTTGTAGTTAAAGATTGAGTTTTTTTTTATTGAGTTTGGGTTTAGAGATTGGTGATCTCAGATTTGGATTCGTTATTGTGGCTTTTCTATTTAGAACATTCAAAGTAAAACTGATCATTTTGTATAAATAATAAAACATCATATCGTTGAAGTGCTGATAGGGCTGTATTTAAGAAAAATGATTGAATCTTTATTTTTTGTAAAACGGGGCAAAAGAAGGAGATGATGTGTTGGATTTATGTTGTGGAACTGTGGAAGTGGGGATTTGGCTTTTCTCGTCTGAGAAAGATGGACCCAATGGCCAGGTTTGCTTTCTTTGTCTTCCCTATCTGCAGTAGTTAGTATTGTTCTTTTATTGAAGCCTACAGAGAAAATGCTGTTAAAAGAACCTTATATATTAGACAGCTAGTATGTGATATTAACACAAAGCGATGTATTTTAAGTTGGAAGCAATGCAGTTGACCAACCCGATCGACCCAACCCAACCCGACCGAACTTGATTGGGTTGGGTTGGGTTGGGTTGGGTTTAAATACGTGATTGGGTTGGTTTGGGTTGAGATTATACCAAACCGACCATGTTGGGTTGGGTTTGGGTTGGGGAAAAAACCAACCCATGCCCACCCCTACCTGTTGCTATACACGTCTTCAATAGTTTATGGTACCACGTGTCCCACGTAGAC